CAGTGAGTTTTTATCCTGGCTCTGCCAGTCACTTATTCTATAGCTTACATAAAGTTTCCTTTGCTCATTTGTCTGTGAAGTACTTATCTCCTAGGTGTTGTGAAAATAAACTTTGGGAGTTCTGAAGCCCAGATTGTAGTGGGCTTCTCAAAAAAACACATAAACCTGCAGAGAAACTATTAATTCATGTTAAAGGTTGGGTGATGTATGCTATATGAGGCATAGACATTGTACAGAGAGGATCAGAACAACTATTGAACAGATCCTCATGCCAGATCTATCCCATGGAATGTTGGGAATCTTTAGATAAAAATAGCAAATGATTTAAAAATTGCATCATAATACATGTGCAGAAGGCAGCCTAGTTACAGTTGCATAGGCAACCTTTACTCTTGCCCTTCCACGTTTGCACAAACTTGACTTTGCTCAGTAACATTCTTTGAAAAGTGATTTGTCTCATATTCCCCCTTGCTTATACTGTGTTAAGAAAGGGGTAGTATTTTCCAATGATGGGTCAAGGAACAAATGGGAAGCCTCTGTTTGGTATCTCAGAAGCTCTAGTTTCATATGTTATGAGATGTTTCCATTAGTCTCATTCAGTTTGATAACTCTGTCCATGTTCTTAGGCTTCCAAAGAAAAGATTCGAACAACTGAAACACAGGTGCTGGTGGCAGCTCCACAGAAGCACTTCCTTGCTGCAAGAATGAAGCTTATCTCTGAACTTTGGGATGCTGGGATCAAGGTATGAGTCAGCAGTTAGATTGGCCCAGTTGGGTTTGTTAAAGTCGGTCCTGAATGATGAGTTGGGAGAGAGAGTCTCTGCAGAGATGGGACACAACAAGATCAAATCCACCGATCGATTGGCTCTGGGCCAGAGGCAGGCATGAAAAAGGCAGGCAACTGCTGGTACAGAGGCTGTAGGAAACATCTGTACTGCTAAGGGAAACAGAGTCCATGGAGTTTCAAGCCTCTTGTTCTGCTTCTGGGTCCCATCAGGAGCAGGAACGGACTTTGTGTAAGTTCCTGAATGCACCCCCACGCCCCATTTAACACTTGGCCTTTGTTTCCCTCTAGGCAGAGATGCTGTACAGAGAGAACCCCAAGCTGCTGAAGCAGCTGCATTACTGTGAGGATAGAGGCATCCCTCTTGCTGCCATCATAGGTGAGCAGGAGCTGAAGGATGGAGTCGTCAAGTTGCGAGATGTAGCTACTAGGCAAGAGGTGAGGACACTTGCTTGTCAGAGTTGGGTTAGGAGAGTCCAAAGGATGCTTCAGAAATCCACTTATTGTAAGAGTTCTAAACATTCTCTTGGGCTGTTAAGGTCTAGTTGGTAGTTCTGGCTTGCACTACAGATCTTAATTTATCTGCTGCCAGACATCAATACATCAGCTTTATAAGTTGGTCTGAAGATTTTAGGAAACTTTCCTCGTGGTTATTTGTCACTGATGCTCTCTGAATAATCTAATCCTTTCCCAAGGGCATAGGAAGCTCTAAGCACCTCAGCATAATTCTTTCCCCTGCCCCCTCCTTGGTGATCATAGAGTATGTCCTTGGGAAGAGTAAGGAGGCAGGATTAGACGAGCAGAAAGAATACATAAACCAGAGTGCTCCAGAGGGACAACAGAGGAGAAGCCTGTGTGGCTGCCTGGGAAAGATTGGACCTCTTGAAGCAAGTTGGGAGCATTGGACAGCTCCTCTGGGATACATGTATCGCTGTTACCACTTTCTTCCTGTTTCCTTTGTAGGTTGATATCCCAAGACAGAAGCTTCTTGAGGAGATTAGGAGAAGGTTGGAGCCCTAGAGCTGTCCACAGCAGCTTGACTCACAGGAGCATTTTGGGGTGCATGAATTTTTTTCAAGCAATTGGAGCATCTGGATCCCTGAACTGATTGAGTGTCACCTGGACAAGTCCTTGAGGATCTGAGCCATGCCATCTGGGCAGACATCTGGCCACCTTCTATTGCGCTGAGATTAATTTGTCTGTACCAAATCACGGAGCTGGGAAATCTCAGCTTGTGGAGAACAGACAAGTTACAAAGGCACAGAGTATATTACTATGTAGTTAATGCTCTTGGGTAAATTAACCCAAGGAGTGGGTCTGTTTAATGCATATTCAGTGTCACGATGGTAAGCTCATTAGTCCCATCAGGAGTCATGCTACAAATTTTAAGACAAATTATTTTTGCCATGACACAAACGGTTTAACCAGCTGTTCAGGAACACGGAAGGAATTTGCAGGTGCTCATTCCTGTACAGTGGCCAAATGCCTTTACAAGATGATGTACTGATCAAAAGTAATCTTGTACTGTGCTCAGAAGTAATCTTGTGTGCATTATCAGATATCTGGAACTTCCATGAAAACATAACCTTTCACCTTTAAGGGGCCTTGGAATCACTCAAAGGTTAGTTTCCTGGTCTGTATTTTGGCTACCCCGCAGTTTCGGGCGGAAGTAGCTCACTTCTGCTAGTTTTGTACATGAAGGAAGTGGGTGGCTACTGCTTTCCAGAATACAATTAAATGACTGTTTCTCAGATATTCTTTAATCTCCCTGTGTTTAGCCCAAGATTCAGTTTGGTGTGGACTGTTGGCTTTTTGCATCACAATAGCTATATACTTCCTCAGAAGGCAAAGCTGCCTTTTGAGCTTAATGATCTTCAGTCTTATCTCTGGCGCGTTCTAAAGTAAATGAGAATGAAGCTGTGCTGCACTGTTACCAAGACCTGGGTTTCTATCCAAACTGAAAAGTGATATAAATAGATACACCAGGTTGTCAAGCATCTGTGACAGCTGTTTCCATCTGTCATGAAATAGTAATATGCTGCACTTGAGTTTACTGGCACTTGAATGGATAGCTGACTGGGATTTATTTTCAATTGTAAAAGAAAGTTTCTCTGGCTGGCTAGAGTTCAGAATACTGTGTTTCTTTTCAGAAGCAGGACCATTTTCAAATGAGTAAACCTGAGTAGTGGCTTTAGCTTATATGTCTGCATGAGATGCAAGCTAAACCAAAAAAAGGCACCCTATATAAGGGTATCTATTTGAGACACAGGGCTTACATTCACAGGTCATGCTGCTGTTCATAATAAGAAACTTTTCCCAGGTGGACGAGGTCTACCATGATTTGGGGCCCAGCAGACTTGTGTCCTCTCAGGTCTCTGGGTGGAATTACTGTTTTCCCTTCTTTAGACCAGGCACTGCATCATTATGTTGGATACCAGTGGTTCTTACTGTAGGTCTGACTGGCTTCAGGTGCTTAACAGTTCCTTGGGGAGCCCCAAACTGCTGCTTTAAAATTATTATGTTTGCCCATGGAAACAACATATTTCAGAAAAAAGGTTAAAACAAAATGCCGGGTTCATATAGGGACCTCATCCTCATGGGATGTCTGACATTTCCTGAAATCTGTTCCTGTCTTCTGTCTGCATATTCTGGGGTCCTTTTTGTTCAGTGAAAACTCTGCCTCCTTCTGTCTTTGAGCTGAATTTAATGGTATACATAGTCCCTTAACTATTAGATCTCCTATTATGGTCTGGTTCCTAGTCTGGCTACCACAGCAGTGGCTGAGATTTAGCCGCAAAAGTAAAGAAAAACTCATGACCCTACCATTATCTTTGGACAGGGCTTAAGGTTTCATGGAAGCAAGGGGTAGGTGGAGCCAACTCCCTCTTCCTGTGAACATTATCTGACCATCCTCCTATGGAACTAATTGTGTCTGTGAGTGCACTAAGCTTCCCAATAACCAGTTCAAGACATGTTATCCATAAATTATTAAAGGCCACCCCTAATCTGCTATGAGTCCTTAGACAACCTTTCTTTCTTTCTTTTTGTTTACGTGTGGGAAAGGGCCATAGATCTTAAAACGGTTGGTCTATTCTAAACAACCAAACTATTTATACATGTGAAAGCAGCACAGCTGTCCCTAGTATAGCTGTAGTTACACCAGTATAAAGGTGCTTTGCTTCTGCTATAACTTATTCCTAAATAAGATATACCCACATAAGGCATTTTCATACCTGTGTTCCTGCATCCATAGTCAGGATATACTATTCTAAGAAAAACTGGAACATAAACTGAAATAACCAAGGAAGGTGGGACCATTATGAAGAACATGACAAGTATATGAAACTTTGCCTGGGGGTTTAAAGAGAGTGGCATGTGAAAGGTAGGAGCTGAACCAGAACCACACTGGTTACACTTTCTTCTTGAGAAAACTGGATGAGGCCAGACTTGGAAAATTATGCACAGAAATCCATGTCCCCTAAGGTGGCTAGTTAGATGGTTAACAAGGTTATGGGCAACAGCCAGAATCTATCCCTAGGGACTTTGTTGGGAGAGGGGAGAACAGGAATACAGCTGGATATCCAAGGTGAGAGGGTGCAGGTGGTGAGTTTTACAGAAGAAAGTGGCAAAGCTACTACCCGCAGGTGCAGCTTGCAGCCTATTTCAGAAAAAGAACAAGTTCGAGGCCTGAGAAGCAAAAGGTAAGAGTTATTGCAGGTGACTCATCTCAGTGGTTGGTGCTGCCCTGCTCTCTCGCCTAGAAGATTGAGTTGTGTTGGCATGGCAACGGGAGGGCGTTTCCAGAGTGCGCTTCCGGCCCCCAGGGGTCGCTCCGAGCGCTGAGTCAGGAAAGCACTTGAACCCCTGCCCACGGCGCATTGGTCACTTCCTGTAGATCACGTTCCTCTTCCGGGGTGATAGATGACAAACGGAAGTGCTCCTGCCCCGACCCCCAAACCGCTAATGATGCGGCTCTGCTGGTCCTACTAAGCGGAAGTTCTCCAGCTTCGCCTTCCTGTTTCCGTGGGGCCGGAAGTCCTCTTGTCCTGAATCTGCAGGTGAGGCGCGGGAGGAGGAAGTCCTCTCGGTCGCCAGCCGCGTGGGTGGTGCAGTCAAAGGAGTCTCCCATCGGCCCCGGCGCGGGGCAGTAGCGGTGACGTGCGGTCCTCGTCCTGGGCCGTGGGGGCGGGACCTGCGCCTTGCTTTTGCGCAGGTGCCAGTGAGGAAGCAGCGCCAGTGGTGACGTTATGGCGACTGAGGCGGCGGGGCTGGCTGAGGCGCTTCGGCTGCAGGCGGACATGGTGAGGCGGCTGAAGCAGGAGCAGGCTGGCACCGAGGAGGTGAGGCCGCGAGCGGTTGGGCGCTGGCTCACGCCTGGGAGGCCCCGCGCGGCTCCTTACTTGGCCCCGTCTCGTCCCTGCAGGTGGCAGAGCAGGTGGCCAAGCTGTTGGAGCTGAAGGGGCGGCTGGGCGTGGACGATGGGCGGCCCCGCTTCCTGCTCAAGACCCCTAAGGTAATGCGTGGCTGGGCCGGGCAACAGGATGCATCTCCTCCGCCCCTGCGGGAGGCTATGGCAGCCACTGCTACAGATTTGGCGCCTGGCCCGTGCACCGGCCACAGGGCTGGTGGCTCTGGTGTCACGGCCAGACCTGGACCTAGCCTGAGCCTGGGGCAGAGGAAGGGCCAGGCGCCCTCCTAGCTGTGATTGATCGAGAAGCTGAGGAGAGGAGAGGACACTGGTACTGTCCATTGCACCAGCTGTGCAGATGGCAGAGCTGCTGGCCGACCTTTGGGCTGTCGAACGCTATTTCTCAGGTCTGTGCTGGCCTGAGGTCCCTGGGGCACAGCACCTGATGCCTGAGCGGTTATCTAGCAGCTCTGTCCATGCACAGCTGGTGCAATGGACGGTACCACACAAAATCCTTGCTCCTTGCACTGAAAAACTCTATTTAAATGGCAGTACTTGCAAGCTGCAAACTTGCCTTCCTAGTTCAGTCACCCTGTGCTCTGTCGTGTCTCATTCCCACTTCTTTCAGAGATCAAACGAGAAAATATCTATAAACAGGATCTGTGTACTTGTGTCCTCAAAACACCAAAAAGTATCTTCTGCTATGTTAGGATATAATTCTGTAATGTTCAGGGCATAAGACAACACTGACTGCTTGAAATTAGGAAAAAAGTCTCTAGAGGGCAATTTATTCCATAAAAGTCCATTTCAGCTTTTCTTACACCTTTTTTTTGAAGCACCTATTAATGGTATGATCCAGGGCTGTGACTCCTCTAATCTTTTATAAACCATTTGGGACAAGTAACTGCTCTTCTTACTGCCAAACCCAGAAATGCAGGTTTCCAAGGACCTGGAAGGAGCAGGATTGCACTGAATAGCCAACAACTACATGGTGAAGGGTACTTTAAACAATGTTTGTAGACAAAGTTGCCTGTAGTGTCTTAGCCAGATCTATAATACATGAGCACCAGCATTCTCCATCCCCACCAAAATACAAACTTCAGAGGCTTAACAGACTGGATTAAAGAAAAACTTCTTCACGGTTCATGTGTCCAGAGGCTGGAACAGACTCTCAGCAGGGGTGGTGCAGGCACCTACCCCGGAGATCTTCAAAAACAGACTGAACACACACCTTGCTGGAATTATTTGACCCCAGCAATCTTTCCTGCCCAGAGCAGGGGGGTTGGACCCAATGATATCACAACATCCCTTGCAGCCCTAAGTTTCCATGATTCAGTAGGGGTCTACCCATCTCAAGGAGGCAGCTGGCAGATTTTGCAGGGAAATGGCAGCCTACCCCACCATCTCCCTGGGCTGGTTGTGGCACCTGCCCCTCCCATACCTCTGATTGGCTAAGGGGGGCCAGTGGCCCTTCCCCTTGCCACTGTTTAGGTATGAGGGCTACCTGTCATGCAGCCCTGTCCCTTACTGTCCATTAGTGGAGAGGGGCTGGCCTGCATGGCAGGCAGCCCTCAGCAAATCAGTGGCAAGGTGTGGCATCCATCTTGGCCTCCCCTTCGTGTGGGCTCTCCCTCTGGGAAGCTAGCATTTTATTTTCAGTAGATTCTTGTGGACCTTGTCCACTTTCATGAGTGATCCTGGATTTCATGATTTCCATGAAATCGCAGTTTTGGTAGGTTCCTACTTATCAGATGGAACTTGTATTAGTTCAAGTAAACTAGCTCTGAATGACCTCTTCTGTTTAAAGAGACCTTAACTGTATACATACATGAATCATAATGTAGCTTGTTCCATTTAGCACCAGGTAAAGTGAATGAGGAAGTTAACACTGCTTGAAGTGATTCTTTCTTCAGATACAGTGATGAATGTAACATGACTGGTTGGACGTTTAGGTTCAAAGACCACCTGTACAGTGGTGTTAACAGTGTCTTGCTGCAGCAGCAGGAAGATTGTCAGTACAGTTAGTCTTTACTGCTCTAAAAGCTGGCAGCCAGCCTGCGCTAACACGCCCATGGCTCCCATCCCCCATGTATCTGCCTGGTGTAGGACCAAGGTAGGAGAAATGCTAACAGTTGTTAGGTTGGCCTGGGTCAATGACTCAATACCCCATCTGCAAATATGGTGAAGGGTTCTCCCACACTCACTACAAATGGAGAGGCATCTTTATCCAGTGATTTTTCTATTTTGTATCTCAACAATCCCTATCTATAAAGGGGTAAATTATTTAAATCCTTGAATTTACCTATAGAACAGGCAATAGCCAGCAGCAGGACCTGGCGGCAGTCAGCATCTTAATCTTCTAGATGGTCCCTGTCCTTCTGGGGCTTAGTCTCCAAGCCTTTGAGGCTGTTAACCCTCCTTACCAATGACATCAGCACCATTGGTTTTCATGGAGAGATGTCTGTATCACCAGCAAAGCAGTCCACCGAGCAACTTGTAGTGGGTAATGAATATTGGCCACTACTGCATTAAGCTGCATTTGAACCAGCAACTTGGAGATTAAGTGGTTGGTAAATTGTTTCCTTAGTCTATCTACCTCCTGAACTTCAGCAAATATTTTCAGTCAAAAATGTGTGAATAAGATCCAGACAATGAAAATAGCTAGTGACACTCATCCCTGAAATGTTTGAGGGACTCCCAGCTCCTGGAGTACTAAAGGAAACTTAGCCCCAGTTTTCCAATACTTGGCAGCCATGTAATCATAATACTAAAAGCTAATTTTCATTACATGCCCTGTGAGCTCGAGCATTATTCAATTTAATGTGTCAGCTTTCTCTTCCCACTGCTCTTTCAGTATAAGATGCAGACATTCAATTGCCATACCACATTAAAGATTAACTTTGTTAAGTCAGCCACAGGGTGGTGCTGAAGAACATCAGAATGATGCGAAGAGTCTTAACAGGTTAAAAATTAAATGAGAGCTCATTCCTTTGGAGATCAAAATAGCCCTCTTGGCCTTATTTTCTAAAATGTCAGACTTTCTGTGAAAAAGGATTCTGTCGTTAGAAAACACCTGTAAACTGGATGCTTTCTTCCTCATTTTCCAAAGCTGCTCTTTATTCTCTAGGTCAGGGCTTGGCAACCTACAGCCCACTGAGCCTTTTGGTCTGTACACATGGGGCTTCAGTAGCAGTCCCTTTTCTTTTCTGCTACCCTCCCCACAGGGCAAGGAAAAACAATCACAGTGGGGGCAGGTGCTTTGCCCATGCCAGTGCAGAGAAAAGCAGCAGTGGAGGGCACTTTCCCTGTGCCAACAATGGTGAAAAGCAGTAGCGACAGCTGCATACTAGTGCCCACCCTTCCACATGCCAGCTTGCCTCTGACCCAAACTGGGTCATTCTGGCCTGCACCCTTAAAACATTGCTGACTACTGCTGTAGGTGTTTTGTTGCACCAAGTGCTGAGCTTGGCCTTTGTTTCAGAAAAAGTAGCCCCTGCCTGGTACTTGTCTAAGCTATGAGCTCTTCACAACAGGAATTTTTTTGCTTGGGACCTGTCTGCAAGGCACTAAGTGTGCTGTTGATGCAGTGGAAATGATTGGGGCCCATGCTGAATTCTCTGTGTTCTGAATACTAATGCTTTTTTCTGCTGCCTAGAAAACTCTGGCTCACATTTAGTTGTCATCTCTGTCTAGCAGCTATCTGACTAGCAAGGCCACTTCCAGACAGTGTTCCCTGACTTTCATGTGTACCAGGAGTTGGTCCTGTTCTCTCTTCTCTGGGTCAGGGAGGGCTTTACATTTGGGTTAGGGGTTTTTTTACCTTCCACTAAGTATGATTGGCACTTTGTTCTCTGCACATCATCTCACTGGTTTCATAAATACTAACTGACGTCACCTGTCCCACTGATACTTTCCTCTTTTTGCCACGTACCATGCACCTACCTGACCACTTTAATATTTACTTGGGTTAAGTCATTAATTGTTCAAACTATTAATGTTTTGTCCTCTTTTTTTTTTTTTTTTCACCCACTCTCTTTGGGGTTGGCTCTCAGGGCACCCGGGACTATGGCCCCAAGCAGATGGCCATCCGGGAGAGAGTCTTCAGCACCATTATCAGCTGTTTCAAGCGTCATGGGGCCGAGGTGATTGACACCCCTGTGTTTGAGCTAAAGGTAGGTATAAGGGTGGCATGGTGGCATCTGGGAGGGGATGTCTATGGTAAAAGGGTCTTATGGGGCCCCAGCAAGTAGGATTGTGCCCACTGAAATATTAGACAATAGCTGCATTAATTATGACCTTAAGGGCAGGTGCACTGACTAGAGCTTCAGCCTGAGCAGCTCCCATGAAGATTGAACTCCTCCTCTAGCAAAGCTGGAAGGAAGTGATTTATCCTTGTCTCTTTGTATGGAGTCATCTTACTTCCTCTGTGACCCTTTTCTTCCTCTTGTTCTCCCTCAGCTTTTATTGCTTCTCACCTGAAATACCACTTCCTTGTTTTCTCTAGGAAACCCTGACTGGGAAGTATGGGGAGGACTCAAAGCTCATCTATGACCTGAAGGATCAGGGGGGAGAGCTGCTGTCTCTTCGCTATGATCTGACTGTATCCTTCTGGTGTCCTTGCTGAATCTACCTTTTCATCTTGCCCAGTACATTCGAACTGCAAGCATTGTCATGCATATGTCCAGGGAGGGGAGTGGGAATGGCAGTCCTTTAGCACACTGCCTGGAACTATCATTCTAGTCCTAGTGGTGGGGTGGTTGGACAGCATAGAGGAGTGGAGATGTGAGTTCCTGGTTGTGCCTTCAGTTGTCTGTTAAATGGGGGTTAATGGCTTCAGGGAAGGAGAAAATTCCTTATCTAGTTCATATTGCTCTGAGGAGCTGGTCTAGGGCTGTTCCTTTCTTTCAGCTTCAGTGACTGGTGGGGAACATGATTGCCAATTAACTGTTGCTCATGGAGAAGGGTGTGTACCCTGTTGAGCCTTCATATCAGAGGAAGAAATAATTAAGCCTTATTCTATGTGGAGTGATAATAGCTGGGCATCTCTAGAGCTTGGAAGATGCTCTCTGGGTTCCATCCTTAACTCTTTATTCTCAGGTGCCTTTTGCTCGTTATTTGGCCATGAATAAAATCACCAACATTAAACGCTACCACATTGCTAAAGTTTACAGACGGGATAACCCAGCCATGACAAGGGGCCGCTACCGGGAGTTCTACCAGTGTGTGAGTAACTGCAGGGGAGAACTGAGTGTCTGGGGCCACTGTTCCTTTTTGGCACTTGGGGAAAGAGGAAAGGAATGTGGGTGGGTCTGGGATCATGGCTTCCCACCGAGCACAAGGAGTGAGAGAGTGCTGTATGAGCCTGGGGTCTTGGCTTCTGTTGTTCAAGGAAGGGGGCAGCACAGTAATGTTTACTGAGAAACTTGGTTGTTGAAAGTCTACCCCAGCTGTGTGGTAGTGCCTCTTTTCACTGCCTTTTCCTATGTCTTAGGATTTTGACATTGCTGGCCAATTTGACCCCATGATTCCTGATGCTGAGTGTCTGAAGATAGTGTATGAGATCCTGTCTGCACTCCAGCTTGGGGACTTCCTCATTAAGGTGAAACCAGAACCAGGGGCTGATGCATTTTGTTTTCTACTACAATATGGAGCAGAGAGGGTTTTTTTCTTTTCTACTTATTCTATGTCCTGACCTGGCCCTTTCTACAATGCATACTTCAGCTCCATCCACAACCAGTTGTTTTTGGGGTATCTGTTAGGGATGCACAGGTAGAGATTTTGGGGGCCGATGCCAGTAGTTAAGGAGACGTATCAGCCAATACAGATCCGATACACCTGCCTACAGCTGGTAAGTCCATTGTAGTGGAAGAGGAGTGGGTAGGGAAGAGGTGTGCGGGGCAGATCAATGCCCCCCATGGTGAGGGAGGGGTCAGGGGCACATGCTGCTTAGCTGGGGCGGGGCTCATGGGGTGGGGGCAGGTCCTGTTGCTGCTTGCACCCCAGGGGGGTGGAGGCAGGGGGGGCATGTGCCTCCTGGATCTTTGGGGCAGGCAGCAGCCGCAGGGTGGAGCCAGAGCCAGTGCTGTGCAGGGCTTTTCTTGCTGGGGGCTGGGCTTGGAGCAGGCTCTGGTGGCACTGGGAGGAGGCTGTAACCACCCCAAATTCTGACACAGCTCCACTCCCACCCCTGCACTGCCACCCGGCACAGCCCTGGCTCAATGCCCCGCCTCCACCTAAGCACCAGGAGAAGCTGGGGCTGTGCCAGGTGGCAGTGTGGGACTGGGAGCAGAACTGCAGTGAAATTTGGGGTAGCTGCAGCCCCTTCCCAGTGCTGCTGGAGCCCACTCCAAGCCCAGCCTCCAGCAAGAAAAGCACCCCGCAGTGCTAGCTGTGGCTCCACCCCACAGCTGCTGCTTGCCCTGCACCGCAAAGATCTGTGGGTCATGCCCCACCCCCACCCCATGAGCCACACTTCCCTGCCCCGGCTGGGCAGTGCCTGCCTCCACACCCTCCTTCACTGTGGGGGGCATTGATCTGCACCCCCCGTGTCCCTTCCCTCCCCATCCAAGTTACCAGCTTGAGGCAGCTCTCCATGCTGCCAGCTCTGCTCCTTGCTGCCTGGGTGCTGCGCTGCGGCTGCGTGCAGCACGGGCATTATCTGCCCCATGGGGCTGATATCCGATATAGACGATTTTCTTTATATTGGTAATGATCTGATATGAGACTGATATATCGGTGCACCTCTGGTATCTGTTTTTTTCAGTATCTCTCTTGTATACCCTTCATGAACATATATAGGCTCTTGTCATCATCTCTTACTTCCTATGTAGATCGGTACTGTTCCATTTTTTCAGTCTCTCTCCACATGGAAGGCTCTCCATGCCCATTCGTATTCATTGTTACTTCTTGACTCGGGCCTATTGCTTGGGTTCTTTCTTCACTAAGCATGGCCAGAATTGTTGGGAATCTGGATTTAAAATATGTTCAGTTCTGTTCTCTACTTTTTGTGTGTCTGGGTTTTTTTGTTTTGTTTTGTTTTGTTTTTTGGCTACTAGTGCACACAACTGCCCCAGACTTTTTTTGAATAGTTTCAAGGGCTAGTTGTGTTTTCCCCTCCACACTACCCTCCAATGATTATAGTCGATCTAGATCCTAGCAGTGTGGCTGAGTAATTCAAATTATTTCCTTCCCTGTGCAGTACTGTGCACTTGATTTTGTTGAACCCTGATACTGTGCTGCCACTTCCTAATTTGAGTAGACCTCTCAGAATTCCTTCATGATTTTAACCAATTTAAGTGTCCTTGGCACATTTTACTACCTTACTACATACTAGTTTGTTTAATGAGTCCTGGTCCTAGTACAGAGTTTGGGACAGTCCACTATTAATCGGCCATCACGTCAAATACCAAGTATTTGTGCCTTCTCTTTGTATCTGTGTGCAGCTGGCTTCTGATTTGTGACTGAATTTCAGTACTCAAGCATGACCAAACAGTTTCCTAAATAGACCCTTTGAGACACTTTGAAAGAGGCTTTTTGAAAACCCAAACATTGGTGGTGCTATTCCTATTTATTTGCTGTTCTTATTATAAAATAGGTAAGCCGCTGAGACTTCTGAACAGCTGATGGTAGGCAGAGTTACTAGTTAGTTTGCCACGGGGGGATAACTGTGAATCTACCTCTTCCACTTCTAACTTTCATTGTAAGTGGAGCACATCCACCAGGTTCTTACTGAGTGACTCTGCTTCTTCCCAGGTCAATGACCGGCGCATTTTAGATGGGATGTTTGCAGTTTGTGGAGTTCCAGACAGCAAGTTCCGGACCATTTGCTCCAGTGTGGACAAACTAGACAAAGTAAGGACTTAAGCATCCTGCTGCTGTTACTGCTGTGAATTCCCAGGCATCAAAGGCTTCTTGGACAGATTAAGGCCATGGAATCCAACAGGAGAATGTTACTAAATGCTGAGTCATTTTTCTTTGCTTCCCACCCATGTTGGGAGTGGTTAATATAAGCTCATTGCCTACATGGTGCATTTGGTTTTCCAGGAAACTGCCTGTGCTGTTTTTTTCCTTTAGGGTCCCTAGTGTTTCATAAGTCAGCAGGAGGTTACAGGGAAAGGCATCTTAAATCTGTGTAATTCTTTAATTCAGCAGCACATGACCTAGAGGCTGTTGCTTATGAATCTCCAGAGCAGGGAAGCTCCCTGAGTTGGACATGGTGTTCTGGGCCAGTTAACACAGTTGCTTAGTGTGGTGCTAATGACACTAAAGACCTTGTGTGGGTTTTGCAAAGGTAATTTGGACTCTGGTAATCTGTCATACCAAGGGAGACCTTAAAGACAGGACTCTTCAATTTGGAAAAGAGAGAAGGCTGAGGGGATATGATAAAGATCTATGAAGTTATGAAGGATGTGGACAAAGTGAATATGGAACTATTATTCACCAAATCTCAGAATACTAGAACTAGTATGTAGTTTTGGGGCCCATTTAGTACTCTCTGCCTATGTGTCCTGTTGGCAGTCTGGTACAACATGCTTTTCCCTGACTGAAATTAGCTGAAGACAGGTTTAAAACAAACAAAAAAATGTACTACTTTTATTTAGTGCATACTTAGGTCATGGAACTTATTGCCACAGGAGGTAGTAAATGCAGATGGCATAGCCACATTCAAAAATGGATTAGATAGATTCATAGATGTTAAGTCTGTTAGCACCTATTAAATAGAAGAGTCAGGGATGCATCTTTTGACATCCTTAAACCAATTATGGTGGATGCCAGGAAGGGTATGACATGGAATGGGTCACTCTACAGAGTGTCTGTTACTCCCACTGTTGGAGTTGAGCCTGTTTGTTGCACGGTGGCAGTGGGTCTAGCCCAGGTGCGGGCAGTTATATTCGGCTGGAGGGCTGCTTCATGAGTTGGTGAACTGTCAAGGGCTGCAAGGGTAGCCCAGCCCCTTGACAGGTGCCTTGCCCCCTGGTCACCATCTCGGGATTGAAAGTCCTGTCCCTAACCCAGGGGTGGGCAAAATACTGCCCACGGGCCAAATATGGCCTGCTAGGCCATTCTATCCGGCCTGTAGGGCCCCTTAAAACTTGTAAAAATTAATATTTATCTGTCCTTGGTTCCTGTCAAAGATGACAGAAGGCAGGGGCAGTAGGACCCAGGGAGAAAGCTCTGGTGGGCTCCTGCAACAGCAGGGCCTGCTTGGCCCCACCCCCAAGCCAGCAGGGGCTTCTGGCCTGGGACCGTGTGGCTCCTCGTGGCTGTGCCAGCATGGGAAACTCAGGTAAGAATGTGTGGGGAAGGGCAGGGAAGGACTGTGGGCAGGGAACGAGCTGGTGCTGAGCGTGGGGGGAAAGTGGCCCCTCCCCGTGGCTGGTGCTCCCTGCTGCAGCCGCTCACAACCTGTGCAGGGCTGTCCTGAGCAGGCACAGGCAGCCCCACGTAGGCTGCAAGTGGCTGCAGCACAGGGCACTGGCCAGCTGTGCCCCACTTTGGGCCCCACCGGTGCTGGCCCTGGGACATTGGTCCCAAGGTGGTGACCAGGGGACGGGGCACCTGTCAAGGGGCAGGGCTACTCATGCAGCCCTGGACAGCTCACCAAAACTCATGAAGCAGCCCTCCAGCCAAAATCAAATGTCTGCTATAACGTTTTAACTTATTTAAATATCTATTTTTGTCCAATTTGTGTGTTTGCATAGTGTACAGGCAGTCCTCCAACTTACGACATGATTGGTTCATGGTAGCATGCAGAGCTAGCCTGATCCAGCTCCATAGTGTGCAGCTGCAGCACCTGCAAGGTGCAGGGCCAGCCCAGCCTGGACCCATAGTGCACAGCTCCCCACACTCCCAGCCCCCTTTTTCCCCAACAGGAGTCCCTGGCCCAGTGGGGCCCTTACCTGGATTTCTTGTCTTGCACAAAGCAAGGGCTGGGAAACAGCCACAGGGTTGCCAGCAAAAGCCTCTGCCAGGCGGAGGCTTCCTGTCTCTAGTACCCCCTAGTTTGGGGCTCAGAGTGGGTCAGGCCAGGCTGGGGTGTGAGCTGGCTGCTTAGCAACCAGAGCAGCACCTCCAGCATGGAGGCACCAGCTTTCAGAGGGGCAACAAGGGCTAGGGCGCATGATGATTCTTTCAGTTTACAGAGGCGCCCCATGGGACCAGGTGGAACTGCCTGGTGGGCTGAAACTGGTCCCCGGGCCATATTTCTCCTGCCCTTGGTCTAGGCCCATCAGGAAGTACGAGCCTACTGTCAGTGGCTAAGTGGTTACTGAATGTGCAATAACCAAATTATTGGGATGACCAATGATAGCACAGGAACAGGACTGCAGGTTATAGGTTAATAACTTGGATAACAAGGATGGACACCAGCTAGTGCCCACTGCCCCTTGTATGCATCTAGAAAGCAAGTGGATGCTGCCCATTGGCATTTGCTTGGAGATGGGCATAGGTGAGCGAAAGCAAAAGACCCATGGTGAACTCAAAGTTGCCCAGATTGTCTCCCAATAGCACCTCCTTCCTTGTCTAATACATGAAGAGCTTGGCCAGGACTAGGAGGAGGTTGACCAAAAGGTCTTGGGACTTTATGGAGCTACAGATGGGTTGTGTATAAAATAAAAGGTGCAGGAAACAGTGTAATCAGCCTCAATAAGATAAAGTCAAAGAGGGTTTGCCGTCTGGCTGCTGGGCCAGATGGACTATTAATATGACCCACTATGATGCTACTGATTTTCTGCGTATTCCTGGAGCATGCGGTCCCACCACCCAACTCAGTTGCCATCTAGTGGTGTGGCTGCATCAGAGTGTTCAAAAGTTAGTTTGAGGACCCATTTAATACTCTCTGCCCATGTATCCTGTTGGCAATCTGGTACAACATGCTTTTCTCTGTTTTGGATTTGTGGTGTAGATTAGGGCTGTCCAGCTTCTGAGTGACCAGGGTCTCCTGGTTCCCTGGGCTGCACTCCTTGCAAGCCATATGCTGCCCGTGAGTTGTCACTTGGACAGCCCTAATATAGATAACTATGTAACCATGTCCTAGGCGTGACTTTGCTAAACCCTGGGGCTTGGAGTATAGGGAATTCAGCATGTCAAACTGTTGCAGGATTTTAGAGGGTCTTGAGAACAAAAGGCAGGATTTTCAGGACCTTGCCAGTCAGCCACAGTACAGGTCCCAGAATCTGGTTCTCACAGGGAATTTGTGAATTCCTGCACCATAGAATGTGTCTTCTCAATGTCTGTGTAAATCTGGCCCCTGGAGATAGTGCTGTGTAGCTCAGCAGTAATGTGTCTGGTATCAAAGTAGGAACTGCATAGTCTGTGGCAGCTTAGTGTAGCTGACAGCAGTGCCTGTAGGCCACCATGATAATGGGCAGATGTAACGCTTGGAAACATTTTTGCCTGTGTTATCCATAACACAGGCAAAGGGACTGGTGAAGGAGCCACCCCCACTGCTGGCCAAAAGAATGTGCAGCAGAAGCACAGGAAGAGCCCATGTAAGGAGTCTATGAAGAGTGTGGCAGGTGAGGACAGATAATGCTGCTGTGTCTGACCAAAAGGATTCAGTGTGATGGGAGAAGGGAGCAAGTATCAAAGGGGACTTCAGAGGCAGCAGCTACCATGACTCCATCCACTATGATATGCTTCAAGAAGAGTTATTTTGCTGCATTAGTCTGAATTGGGCAGAAGGCAGAGTAGATTTGCACCTTTTTATAGATTAAGTAAATTGGAGGTCACTTAGGCTCAGACTTACAAAAGCTCATGCTATACATCTCTGACTTAGTTAGTCTACAAGGTAAAAATCTACTCTTTCTTGCTTCAGAAAGCCCAGTCTGTATACCAGAATGTTAGCATGACAGCTTTCTGCCAGGCTTGTCTGTGACACACATCTACAATGGTGCATAAGCCATACTAGCTGTGGTGTGCTTGCTTTGCTGAATAAGCTCTTACCTGAATAAGCTCTTATCCGTAATTCTCAGGCAGGCTTTATGAAGCTGTGGATAGGACTATAAACATTTACAGTTCTTTGCTAATAAGTAAAGAGGGGGAAAACTTTAAAAGACCACTGTCATTTAAAGAGTTGTAGCCCAAACCAACCCACTAGAAAGTAGGAGTAAATAGAGTTAAGAAAACCCCAGTAAACTTCCCTCAGCACAGGGCCAGGGCAAGGCAGTCCAAAGCAGAAGGTGAATGACAGTGCATGGGTTAATTGGCCTCCTCCCTTGTAGTCTCACATACCAGGGCCCCTCTTTCTTGAGAGTTTCCATAATACATAATCCAGAATACGGTGTGTGTGTTTGAATGGGTAACACTGAGAAAGTAACACGCTGCCAACGACCTGATACTTTGCTGTCCCTGGCAATCTGAAGAAACAAGTACATGTGGAAAGCAAAACTTCAATGTTGCCAACATACACAGAAATGCTCTTAGAGACAGTGTGTTGTTGCCAGGTCACAGGTTGGAGACCATTATATTTATTCTTGTGGAGCCCTCCTTTAAAGACTCTATTGAATAAAGTCTACTAGATGCTTATGTTAAAATGGTCTGCAATGGAATATGTAATGCTGATGCCTTATTAAGGTGAAGTTCATGCCTTTAATTTCCAGTCCAGTCTTGTTGGCTGCATTCTCAGGCCTTGTGTACACTTGGAAAAGGAGCGGAATTTCTGGTTTTAGAAAGAGATGGCAATCACTGATTAGTACTGTACTGTAGACAGGGCAAGTAGTAGCTTTAATTTGGTCTAGCTGGGTGAGAATATGTTGTGGACCACTAACACAACTTGCACCGTTTTGTGATGAGGTCTTACAACATACTAGCAGTCTTCTTATAAATGCACCTTTTTCCTACTGCAGCTATCA